TGGGCTTCACCCAGAGCCTCATGAAGTAAGTAGAAACTTTGGTTGGAATGGACAGTATATTAAGTCTTCCATCTGCACCTGCTTAAGACTTTAGAAAGTCAAAATACCCATGAATGTGGAGTATCTCTGCTAATCCTTTATGCCTCACAAGTTTCTGTCTCTCCTGCTCCAGGGAAAACCCCTCTCTAGCAACCTGAATAACCGGGCTTGTATCAGTACAGAAGGATAATCTGGCCCACAGTGCACTGAATTACACTTGTTTCCTAATAGCTGTATTACTCTCTGCCAGCTGAACAGTGTCTGGATGCCAGATTCTGCAGAGATCTGTATCATATCTCTGTAAACACGCTTTCTGAATACGGCAAACTTCCATATATTCTGGTATTTTCTGCTTTAAGTAATATGGAAAAAAAAAAAGGACTATTTTTTTTCCATCTGACTGCATTTTAGATAAATACTAAAAACCCAGAATACTTGGAAGAATGAGTAATAGTCACCAATGAGGGGGAGGAGGACAACTGTTATAAAACAGCATCTGCCCTGTATGAAACCAGCTCAAGGCTGACAAACCCAGAATCTTCAATTGGCAGTTTGTTTTGCTTTTCTTCTAGAAAAAAAAATCTACTATTAAAAATCAAAAAGTCTGAATAATTTTATCTTGAAAACCTTGGAGGTGCCTCTCCTTTCCAAGTCAGTATTAGTTACAACTTGAAGCGTGTCCTTGTCTGTGTGAAAGCAGAAGCTTAGTGATTCTTAACTACCTTTTTCTCTAGCAGTCTGGATGTTAGATTTGCTCATTCACCACAGGGTGACCACTTGACATTCACAAGCTGGCTCTCAAATACATTAAGCCTGGAAGCTAGACCCGATACAACTGGGCCCTCCCGGTTTCCCTGGAGGTAAACAGAACAGACAAATGCAAGTCAAACCAACAGCAAAAACACTACTTTTACTACCAGCGGTGAATATTACCATTTGAATTCAGCTATTTCTAAGTCCATAGATCCTACTGTGGCAGGTGCTGGCAAACACATACAGAAAAAGGCTGAGTTCTCCCAAGTCTGCATTTTCAGCTTTTTGCCTTTTTATTTTGAATTTTTCATTGAAAGAACTTATGTGCATGCCTTGTCTATTTCTCTGGAGTTCACTGGTGCCTTCCGGGATAGATCAGCAGTGCTGTGGAAAGAGGCTGTAAAGCGATCATGTGTCATGTTACCCAGCAGGTATACTCTATGGACAGTCATAGCAGCCACAGTAAATCTGTGCATCTTATTAATGCTTGCAGCCTGGTTCATCCTGCTTCTGCTTTGTAAGGCTTGGGCCAGAGAAAACTTCTGACTCTCTGGCACAGGGACTCTCTTGAAGAGCAATTTGGGTATGAGGAAAGGAATGTTTGCTTACTTTCTTTACTGTGGTCCACAGGGGTAATTCCTTGCTGAATACCAAGCTGGTGGATATTCATTCACATTTTCACTAACTACTGGCCATACATCTTTTTGCCAACACGGAAAGCATGCTCTCTACCATCATCTGAATAACTACAGCCAGTTAAGCAGTTTGTAAGGAGAAAAAGAGTAAAGGCTGCTGTGGAAGCAGGCTGTTTTACTCCACAGCTGTAGAGCTCTGATCACCATACAAATGTATGGCAGAACCAAAACTGCTCAAGTATTTGTAATAATGAATGAACTTCACAACATACAAGATGCTTTCACATATGAGATAGACATTACTTCAGAAGTAAACGCGTAGCTCAGAGGTATTCAGAAGAGCTCCAAAGGGAATTTAACACAGCTAATTGTAGCTGGGAAGCCAGAAAAGCCACGGAAGAAGACCCAGTGACTATGGCCATGTGAAGAGGGGACTGGGGAGATGAGGGAGATAGGCAAGCATTTAGAAATACCAGCAAGAAAGACACAGGAAATATAGTGCCAGCTTACATAATACCAGCCTGTAAATGCAACAGGACAACAGCAACATTTGCCAAAGCATTGTCAATGGTATAGAAGGCTTCTGAGCTGTGATTGAGAATGAAATAAAAGGTACTGGCATAAGGACAGAAATGACATGATGAGAAGGGCTGGTGGAAAGTAGAAAGCTACCAAGGACAGATTTATTTTGGTGCACAAGGAAAGATGTTGCTGAATTTCAAGACAGATAACTCCTGCCTGAGACTGAAGACGTATGTGCACAGTCATCTGAAGACCTAGATTAATCCAGTAACTTTGCAATGTATACAGTTCTTCTGCTGCTCATACCTTTTCAGCCACAAGGATACATTCCTCTGCTGTAAATGTAGAAGCTATTCTCAAGTCTTATTTGTCTTAGTTGTTCAGCTCAAACCACAGGACATAACTTGTATTTCATAATGAGCCTTTCTTTGTCTAGTCCATATACATGGTATGGAAGCTTGTTCACTCACATGAGAACAAGATTACTTAAACATGAAACATCATTGCATGTCTTCAAGTTCAATAGAGATGCAGTAATTATTTTCACCTCATAATTAAAACAAAACCTGGAAATCAAAAGACAATCCCTTTCATTGCAGCACTGGAAACATTATTGTGAACTGTCTTTACAAAACCACAATAAAGAGCAAGCTAAAAGGACACACATAGTAGTAGAGTTTTCATTCAGACCATGTAATTTAAGTCTGAATTATATTAGATCAAAGGCAAACTGAATTAAAAAAATACCTGTTGGATTATGCAGAATGGAGTTCCTCTGCTTAATAGCTCTGGGAAGATTACAGTGTCATAAGGCTCTATCAATCAGAACAGAAAAAACAAAGAGCAAGGATAAATCGAAGGTTAAGTGCATGGTGCTGAGGAACACCCTAACCACCTTCCTTTTACTATTATAAACCGGATGGATTTGTGTTGATGGATCTATTAAGAAGGAAAAACAGAAATCTATATTCAGACAGAGGCTTTCTGCCCATACATTTCCTCTGATGTGTAGAACCATGTTGTATTTTGGCATCCCAGTTAACAGACTGTCCCTATTTCTCTGTTGATTTTCTAACAAAAAGAAAAGGGCTCAAAGGGCTGCTTATTAATTTATTTATAAACTTTTCTTCAGCCCAGGAAAAGACAGCACTCCAATATGTTTTCATTGTTTCTGTTTAACAGAATAGCAGAACAAAAGAAAACAAAGCCCTAAATCCACAGAAAGATCAAACTCCTTCCTAATATAACTCCACTGAAATAATTTCATATAGCCCAGAGATGTGCTCAGTCTGTGTTTTTTGCTGTGATGAACACAGGAACAGCAAGTGTCCTAAATACTTCACGAATCTCAAACAACGTAACACCTGGGATTCAAGATGGAGATTGTGAACTGGAAGAGAATTTCATTTCTGCTTTGTTTCTTTTTTGTTGCAGGGCCTGGATACTGTACATCCTCAGGGAGCCACCCAGCTCCTTTCCAGATCAAGAGGTGATCTTAGCTGGGTTTCAGTGGGAGCTGGAACAGGCCATACATGCATAGGACACATACTCTTACCTAACAGTGTATTATTATATCATGCGGTCCCTAGAAATGTGTACCATCAACATATTCCAGTTGCCTACACACTCCTTTTTGCTGCTGCAGGCTATTTGGTGCCTTTAGTTCAACAACTGCACTCTTTAAAAGGATAGTGTTAATTTTGTCCTAAAACTTGTACTTAAAAAACCAAACTTCCATAAAACCTGAAACCTAAGGAATTGCTATAAGCTATTGTGATAAATACGCCTGGGCAATGCCTGAATTCCCATACAGCAGCAATTAGAAGCCACACTAAACAATATAATCAGAAGTAACTGCTTCTGTTAGCTTTCATTGACTTTGTTGTTTGATGCTGACCAAAACACCATTACTTGAGTTTTAATTGTGTCAACAGCACCTCCTTAAGTTGTCAGCAAGCTGTATGGCTGCAGACAGCAGCAAAGGCAATAGAAGCCCTCTGCTGTAGTAGCACCTAGGCCAGCTCTGAAAGAGACATTCATGGTGCTTGGGTCTCTTTCGTGTCTATGGTTTGTGAAACCTCTGCTGGATAGTGTTCTTAACAAACTTGATGTATCTCATCCTCCTATAAGATTTAGTTCAAAACAATGTACAGCTTTACTCCTGGATTATATTACCACAAGTTCTCATCCATTAATACCCTCCCTACCTTTTGGGATGTCACTCCAGCTTGCTTTTCCAAGTGCTTCTGCTCTTTTCTAACGCAGTATGAATGGTATACATGCTGAAAAGGGTTTCTGTTTCCCATAATCATTCCAGGTGAGAAAAGCACCAAGTTCTGAATGGAATTGAAAAGCAGGTGATCAGTTCTAGGCACATGAGGCTGAGGAGAGAAAACAGGGTGGTTCTTCCCACCCCCCTCCCTTTCTTCCAAGTATGGATTAAATCACACTTTGTAAATAAAACCTGTGCGAATTGTGTGCCAGGTCACATCCCGTCTACATCCTCATAAGCGCAAACGATTCTGGAAAGATTTAGCACACACATTTAAGGGTTCGTGGAAACAGTCCAGAGCGCTTCTAACGGCTTGGATCCAATTAGTCATTCAAGTCGTTTCTTTTTAAATAGGACTCGGAGGAACACGCTAATTTTAGGAAGGGAGGGGGCGGGAAGGGGTGTTCCCCTCACACCGGGGAGCCCTTCCCGAGGGGGCGCGCAAAGCGGGGCAAGGGGAGCGCTCCCCGCCCGCTGATCCCGTCAGGCCGTTGCGGGTCCGCCGACTCCGCAGCAAGCCCTCTCCGGCGGCGGCCGCTCGCACTTCGCCCCAACGGCGAGGGTAAACCGCGCCCTCGGGCAGGAGCGGCTGAGGGAGCCCCCGCTCCCCGTGCCCAGAGGCTCCCCCGGGGACAGTACGGGATTAGCTCCGCATCTCCCCTACCCCAGCCGCTCCTGTAAGCTCACCTCAGCCCGCGCCCCCTCAGGGACCGCGCCCCACCTGCCCGCAAGGCGCTGCCCGTGACGTCATGGAAACACCCCCTACCCGGCGGGCGGGCGGGAATAGCACGCCCTTAGCATGCAGGGGGCGGGGGAAAGGGTGAGCAGGCGCTTCCTATTGGCCTGCGCTCTGCCAATCAAGCGCGGCGGGCCCGCCCCCGGCCCCGCTCGTGGACGTTCCCCAGAAGGCGAAGCGGGGAGAGGTGCTGGTGTGCGCGCCGCCGCCAGGGCCGGCGCAGGTGGAGCGGGCGGCTCTTTATGCTTGCGGTTGTCGCTGCTGTCCGACTCCTTCCTCCCGGCTGCGGGGCGCAGCTGCCCGGGGGCTATGGCGGAGGCGCCCGGCGGGCGGTAGCTCGGCAGGTGAGGAGCTCAGGTGGGAAGCGGCGTGGCAGGGCGTATCCCCCGGGTGGGGTGGCGGTGGTTGTGCCTCCCCTCGCTGAGGTGCTGGTGCTGCACGGCAGTAAAGTGTCCTTTTACCTCATGGAAGGCACCGTTCTCACCCGGTTCGCACCGAGGGCGCCGGCGGGCCGGGCAGTGGGCGGGCTGGCGGCGGTTGCCGTTGCAGCGCTTTACTCTCCCGCCGAGCCCCTCCAGCGGCCGTCGGGAGTCCCGCGGTTACAGCCCCGCACGGCTGTTGAGGAGCGGCCGCCAACTTAGAACACCTTTTCCTGCTTCGGAAGGGTGCTGCTGAGGGCTGCCCCCTTCGTGTGACTCCCGCTGTGCACCGTGTGGCACCGGGACGGAGCGGATTCCGGATTAGCTGTGATACCCCTGGCACCAAGAAGTGGCTTTCCTGGAGGGAAGGGGCGAGGGCAGGGCTCCCCCCCTTTCTGTGTGCTCTGGGGAACGGAGCTGTCTGTAAGCGTAACTTGGGAAATGTTGGGCATGTTTGCAGAGCCGTCACTCTCGTCTCGGTCTGTGGCTCTGTGTGTGCGTGCAAAGTAAAAAACGCCACCGTTTTAGTTAGTTATTTCCTTTCCTTGCGCACATTTTAAAGAAAATAGGTTAATTAAGTCTAGCCGCTTCAGTTTCAAGGTTGATTTAGTTTTCATTTGAGGACAAATTAGGTATTAAGAGCATTTAAATACTCCCATTACTCGAGAGCTGCTTGGTGCGGTTCACTGGCACTTGCTGATTTATTTTTATGAGGGAGGTTATCTGGAATGGCTAGAGAAAAGGGCGTTTAACAAATTCACTTTGCCTTGTAAGGTAATTTGTGTGCCTTACGTTTTTGTCCTGGGCCTCTAATGCCAGTAGTAGTGTTTTTCCTTCTGCACTATATTGAGAAGGGACGCAGGGAGCACTTGGTTGTTGCTTCATCTCTTGACTTTCATCGATTAATGATAGAGTTCAGAATGTTTCACTCTAGTTAATTTCAACAGTGCTTGTAAGTCTGGTTTCAGTATTCAAAGCAGGTGCTTTCATGGTCTTTTTCTGTAAAGCCATAGATAACAACAATTTTAATTTCTGTGAGCTTTGTTTTTTATTATTGAAAACGTAAAAGGAAAATAAATCTGAAATAACACTCCCTAGGGTATAGTCCCAATAGATTAAGCTAAATATTTTCTGCTTTGGCTCTTAGTCTTATTTCCAAAGCAATAGCATTCGCAATTCATTATTCTTTTTTCTTTACCCTGATATCCCCCTACCCACGCATAGGGTTAGGCCTGTTTATTTCCTCTCTTGCCATTTTCTGTAATATCTAGGTTGTTTTAGGGATTGGAGATGCTCTCTGTGTATGAGTGTGCACTGAACAGTTGTGGTTGAATGAAATTACTAGCATGTTCACCAAGGGCAGGAAGTGATGGTGAGACTCAGTTATTGCAACATTGCATGTGTGGCTGGCTCAGACACTTTTGCAAATGTCAGCATACTGTATTTTATACAAAACCTTATTTATTTTAGTAGCTGTGTGTATGCCATTGTAAAGAATATTGGATCTAGTTCAAACCTCATCTGTTACAAACAGATGCATGTCACTCTAACAGCCTTTCCTTTATTTGTTGCATTCTGAAGGTCTTGTTACATGCTGTGTAGAAGTAGGGTGAAATAGGCCATTACTCTGGCAGTCTTGGATCTTATGGTTTCTTGCTGAGAAATTGAATTTCCAGTTGCTATAAACAGTGCTTTTAGCTACAAAATGAGGAAAGCCTTCCCACTGAAAGGAAACTCGTACATGAATTGCTGATATGTTTTAGGCTTAAATCTAATTTGTTGTAATGTGCATTTTAAAAAGATGCAGTGATGAATGAGGCAGCAGAATACGTGACTGTGCAGACATGAGGTACTTTTATATGTGAGAAGCAGCCTAGTATTTATATCAGCATATTTTGATCTTATTGAAGTCAGTCTCAATTGATTTCAGTTAAGATTTGACTCACCAAAGGCTCAAAGTTTTGCTGGTAAAAGGCTGAGGGACAGACACTGTGGTATACCACTACTAAGGTAGCTGAAGAAACTTCTAGGAGAATCTAATTGCCTTTTCCTGTATCATGTTTCAGATAATAGGTTGCAGATATTGTGAGTTCTGGCAAACAGCTCCCCAGACTGGGACTAATGTTTCTGTTACAAAATTTACCCAGCTCTGCTTTTTGAGATTTGCGTGTCTGTCTTGTGCGTTTGGGGTTGTGTTCAAGCAGTATACTTTGGGGGACAGACTTTGGTTTTGGTTTCCTGAATCTGTCAGTTGTGGTACAAGTATGTAAATTCTTGAATGTTATGCCTCAAAGCACATGTTACATTGCTCTAGTTTCTCGTTTATCTGAAGGACAAGGAGGTTTTGTGTATTTAACGTTCTGTCCTGTTGTGGGTACTTGTCCTTGTTCTGCTAGTGTAAAACTTATACCCTCAGTGTTAATTACCTTAGGGCAAAGTTTGCTGCCTGTCTTCAAGGTCGAGTGATGTGGGCGTTGATGCTAATGAATATGACAATCTAGGTAAAATTGGAAGCATAATAGCTAAGAAAAGCACAGCTGTGAGTCGGATCCTGAGAGGCAGGATATCCAGAACTCCTCCTCCTTTCAATCTGTTCTAGCTTGTTGCTCATGCGAAGTTCTTGAAGCTGCTTGTGACTTTCATGTAGTGCATATGTTCAGAAATAGCAGATTCTATTATATGAAGTTATGACATGAATTAGCACAGTGTTGCGGTAGTGGTTTTGGAGCTCTGTCGATATGAAACTTATGGCACATTGTTGCAAGTTGCTTGAAATAAATTTGAGGACAGTCTCAGCAGAGGAAGAAAACACAAAACTTGCACAGATTCCTTATGATTTTCTGTATTCAGGTATCTCAATTGAGATAAGTGTTAAATGATGAGACTTGGGTTTTTTTTTAATATGGGTTCAATAGCAATTCTGGTACCTGCCTTGTTAGTCAAAGCAAGTACTCTTACTGAGCACTAGCTGAGACAGAGAAATGTATTCGGCCAGTTCAGCCCAGCGCAGCTCAGCTTCTGCCTGCCTGGTGTGCCAGAGCAGCGCTGACTCAGTGCCAAGCTCCTCAGGGCAGAAGTCACGTGTTGGTGTGTAGCACTGAGCATGGCAGTGCTTAATCCTATTTGTGTCTGGGCACTCTGTGATGCTAACCACAAATGTAAAGACATAGAGTTGAGCCGCTTTTCATGTAGCAGGTGCTGAGCAATTTTTGCAATGCCTGTTTGCTGATGATTGACAGTCTTTGGCTGAAGCTGTTCTAGACATGGCTCTTGAATCTTTTTCTGTAGGAAGTACTGATAAGCGTGACTTGACAGGAATCCCAGTTACGTGCAACAGGAGGAAGTTAAAAGAGTGAGAACTGACTTTCACTGACCTCTAAGCCCTAAGCTAAAGCAGTACATTGAGAATTGCTATGAGTTTCTAGTTCAAGAGATCTCCAAACTTACCAATTGTGTATCTGGCTGTAAGACAGACTGAGATAAAGATAGTGGCTGCCTAATAGCATCTGGTAAGTCACAGAAGGAAAGCTGCAGTTATGATTCTTTATGCATCTCTGCGCACTGCTTTTCAGTTATGTTACAATTTAGACTGAACTTGAAAAATCCTTCCTTTGAACTCACTGAGTAGCATATTAGACAAGCTATGTGTTCCTTGTCTGACCAAGAGGTGGGTATGTATCTGTGTTTCTAGTTTTACCACTTTAAAGTCCAGTTGTTATATTTCAAGTATTTGAACTGAAGAGTCCCTCTTTAGTCTTTAAGTTGTGGGGTTTTGATGGCTGAATCCTATTTAGGTTGGCAAACACAGCTGCTGCCATGTCAACACTTAATTATTTCTTTCTGGATTTCTTTGACACTCATGTTAATATGGGTGTGCAAACACAACTCCCTTTTTTCTGCCTTCCAATGTAATGCATGGATGTGGTATTAAGGAGATTTTTTTTCTTGATTCATCTTTCCGAAATAGCAACTTTTAAAGTGATGGCTTCAGATTCTGCCTGCATGTTGGCTGAGATGAAACCTGAAAAATAATCACAGGAAAAGGTACTATGTGGTGCTGCAGGTGTCATGCATTGCTTGTTCAAAGAACTCTATTCTTTGAACAGAGATGGTAGCAATACAAAATAGTAAAGGTGAGAAACCAATCCTTTTTATACCAGTGTTGATAACTATTCTGTGTTTACTGAAATGATACCTGCTGGATTTCAGTAATGACTTTCTGTTGCCATTAGGAAAACGTGAAGCTTTCTGGCCATTTGCTGTATCCTCTGATTAATGTTTCTAGGGTAGAAGTTTGAAATGTTTCCCTGGCTGAATGTAGTTCATACTCTTTCCTCATCTTAATTTCTGCCAATTTTGTTATCAACACTTGTGATGATACTGCAAAATGTCTATTATCACAAGTGTCATCTCTTATCTGTTATGGCGATAACTTAGGTCACTTTTAGATCAGACTTAATGCCACTTTTTCTTGTGATTCTGGAGGCTTTTCCTATTCACAGTGTATGCATTGTTACTGTTCTGACTTCAGTCTGTTCCATTTTTGTATAGTTGCTGGTGAAAATGATTGAAGCTCCTGGTCTTAATGGTTCCGATAAAGAAGCACTGAGTGGGTATACCTCATTTGCCTTGCATGTTAACTTGTTTCTTCCTGGAGAGTAGCTGACACCACAGAAGAGACAATTTCTAAGCAGCTTGTCAATCACCAAGAGAACTGTGTGTGCAGGAGACTTTAACCTTCTCAGTGTACAAGCCTATCTATGTCATTGTTAATTCTGCTTGTTACAGAAGGTCAAGTCCTGCCCTTCAGGTTTTCGTATGATACAGATTTTGGGCACCACTTTTTTTCCGTCTTGCAAAGCACTTGCATTAAAAAGAGTCTCACTCTCTTCTGAGATAATTGCTTTTCCAGGGTGACTGGAAAAATAGCCTCGAAGAGGGATAGAGTTTATTTGTACTCTTAGTTCCCCAAGTGAAATGTCCAATTCTTATTTTCGCAGGACTTTTGCTGTTCTGTCTGCAGTGACAACAGATAGCTTTGAAACCAGCCGTGATAAGTTTCATTGTCAGGGATTCTGCTGCTTCCTCAGGCTGCGAGGCACAATAGCAGTGTCTCTGCTGAACATGATGCGTAACACATCTTGCTCATGCTGGCATCTGGGACTATGCTGGCTGCAACTGTATTGCTAGAAAAGAAACTTATTTAATACTCTTATAAAATACTGTATTCTGAAGGAGAGTGAATGGTTCTATTGTTTCTTTCTATATCCCTTGCTTGTGACAAACATGAGTGCTGAGATTCCATGGACAAAGCTTTGACAGCATAAACTGTGAATTTAAGTGCAATTTACAATGTGGGGGGGGAGGAGGGAAGAAGTTTCCCTGTGAATGTGTTTCGGTCACTATTTTGTATATCTTAAAAAGAAGCAGTGAGTGTCTGTTACTCTTCTGTAGTACTGCCTGAACACTTTAAAATAACAAAGTGTAAATCATCAGTAGCAACGGGGATCCTGAAGACCTGTTAGTGATTGCTGTTTGCATACGGGGGAGCTGATGAAGCTGGTTCTGAATGATGTGGGCTACCGAGTCTTTGCTAGCTTGTTAAGATGACTATGGTAGGAGTTTGTGGTGCCTTTTTCAGCTTCACTCCCTGTTACCTTGCTGCTTGACAAAGGCAGGCAGGCTGGTACTTGCTGAGAGACCTTTCTACAGTCTGGTAACTGTGTGGGATTTCCCACCTGCAGTTGGATGTATCTGGGTCTGTGCAGCTCAGTGGCACATGACCTCTCAGTTCTTGGGAGCTATGCAGCCATTTAGATAGCAGATGTTCCAAGAACTTGCTAGTCCATATTTTTTTTTAGCAGTGATCTCACCACCTCAAAAGAAGTGGGCTGCCTAGCACTCATCGGCTATTTGGAGCTGGCATTATTGCTGAAAGATTACAAGTCCTTTGCTTTTTAAGTAAACAGTAATGGAATAAAGAAATAAAAATAGCAAGCAAAAGGTGTTACAAAGACAAAAATTCTCCTTAACTTTTGGGGGTGGTTTTGCTAGTAGAGTGGCTAATAAGCTCTGTCTTCTAGCCTGGTGCTATTGTGTCTTGGAAACTTCTCATAACTGCATCTTACTTGCTGTTACTGTTAATAGGGTTAGTTAAATTGCTTAAAGCAGCCATTTTTAGTTTCCTTTAAAGATAACATTCTGATAATGGTTTTGTCATTTGTTAAGATTTGTAACAGGACAGCTCCAGAGGCAGTGGACCCTGAAACATAGGAGGTTCCCTCTGATCATAAGGAAGTACTTTTCTCACTGTGAGCATGATTGAGCACTGGCACAGATTGCCTGGAGATCGTGTGGAAACTCTCTCCTTGGAGATATTCAGAAACTGTCTGGACATGGTCCTGGCCAGGTGTCCCTGCCTGAGCAGGGTGGATGTACCACGTGACCTGCAGAGGTCCCTTCCAACTTCAACCATTCCATGATAATTCTGGTAATGTATTTTGAAGTTTAATGGAGTGCAGCTTTGCTCTTCAAACTCTGTTAGATCTAGAAGTGAGTTTGGAAAAGCCAGCCTGGTGTTTCTCTCCAGTCTTGTCTGGGTCTTAACTGCGTCAGTAAGCAGCCACCTTTCATACAACAGGGTGCACCATTGTTGGAATAGGCTTATTACGGAGGATTGGTTGTGTTTGACAGAATTTGACTTCTAGACATAAAAGAGAACTAGAACTAATGGGGTTATCTAATTTGCCAATACTAAGGTCAGATAACAAGGAATTTATATATGAAGTGGTATAATCTAGGCTAAATTTAGTCCTGTAATTGAACTACAGTAACAACCATGTTTAGGAAGAAGACTTGATATTTGTTTGCTTTCTGATTAAGACCAAACAATGGAAGGAAAAGAATTTAGGTGTTGGTCTGCAGTACTTTGTCATGTTTTGGCAGGAGAGCTACTGTGTTTTAAAAAGTGAATTCAGTATGGTACCCTTACTAGAATCAATAAACGTTATTTATTGAATAAAATGATGGACAGTTAAGATGTGTTGTGGACTTCCATTTCATTTGCCTGCCACTGTGGTATCTGTACCACTGTTAGGATTCACTGAGACTCACTGGGATTTAAATTCCTGACCTTAGTATGAGGGGCAGTTTTACTGTGTTATTATTAACCTTGCATTCAAAAAAACAGATCTGAAATAAAATGTAAAGTTTGGATGTTGAGCGAAATACCATGCCAGAGTGTTGTGTGACTGATTCATGTCTTCCTTAACTGAATGGTCCTGATGTTTTTTTCACTAAGTGACCTAGCTAGGAAGTATCAATTCAAAGCTTTACACTACTGCCACAGCTGTTGAAATTCAGGAAGTGTCAAACCCATTCATTCTTTCCTGTTTAACAAAAAATAAAAGTTGTATCTCTGAGTTTGTTTGCAGATTTGTTACTGTTCTCCAAATCTACCTGTCTTATCTGTGAGGCATTAGAATCAGAAGGGCATAATGATGAACTTATAAACCTTATAGAACTAAGGCTCACTTACTAGATATCTCTCAGTGCTTACAGAATGTCAAATTGTTGGGAAAGGAGAACTTACTTGGGTAGGGAACTGCTACTGTGGATAAAGTTTCTGACTGTTAGCTTGTGTCCAGTTTGTTTTGTTGAAGCAAGCTTTTTAACATTCCTTTTCTCAGAGTAAGAATAAAAATGCACCGCTGAAATGATGTTTCATTCAATATGGAATTTCATTTCAGATTTAGAGATGTTAAAGCTTTCCACAGGATAGCTGAATCATGGACTTCTGTGCACACACATGCACATACACTTAGTTTCACAGCTTATACTCCTATGTATAACACTGTATTGTACTGTACTCTTTGAAGCTCGGCAGGATCAACACTTCTACTTGAAAACCAACAGCAGATCCGTTGCTGGGATGTTTGGCAGATGAGGCTTACTGTTTATTTTCTTGTGGGGTTTTGTTTGTTTGCTTTTCAGAGAAAAAGGAGGAAAAAAGTATTGTGAGACTTGCACAAAATGTAGTGTTTGATGAGGGTGACTCGTAGCATTTATTTTTTTTTTCTTTTCTTGTAGGAACAGAAAAGTACATAAGGTCAATTTCTTCTGCCATGTTATATGCATACAAATGCCGGTGTACTGATAGTCCCTTACTGGTGACAATCTCACATTTTAAAAGGTCAGATTTCAAGTAATGGGATATCATTGGGCTTTTTAAAATGCATGCAAGGTTACTGTTTTCATCTGTCAGACTTCAGTAATCTGCTTTTAGTCCTAACTCACTAACTTGATAAGATGAGCAGGGGAGGTGCAACATCCTGTTTCTAGCTGTATTGTCAACCATCTCTTTAAATAATTGGCTTCCTTAATTTCATAGTAAGTCAGTGGAAGAACAGTGGCTGCATTTTAATATCATGAACTGACAGTGTTCTCACTTCAGGAAACATTTTTGGGGCTTATGTATGGAGATGACTGCTTCCTACTGACGAGGCTTAGGAAACCGTGGTATCAGAGAATCATAGGATAGTTAGAGTTGGAAAAGACCTTAAGATCATCTAGTCACAACCCACCTGCCCTTGCACTAAACCATGCCACCTGGATCTGTCCAACGTGGCCTTGAACACTGCTAGGGATGGAGCATTCACAACTTCCTTGGTCAACCCATTCCAGTGTCTCACCACCCTTACAATAAAGAACTTCTTCCTTATATCCAATCTAAACTTCCCCTGTTTAAGCTTGAACCTGTTACCCCTTGTCCTGTCACTACAGTTCATAATGAATAGTCCATCCCCAGCATCCCTATAGGCCCCCTTCAGATGCTGGAAAGCTGCTATGAAGTCTCCACACAGCCTTCTCTCCTCCAGGCTGAACAGCTCCAACTTTCTCAGCCTGTCTTCATATGGGAGGTGCTCCAGTCCCCTGGTCGTCTTCATGACCCTGCTCTGGACTTGTTCCAACAGTTCCATGTCCTTTTTATGCTGAGGACACCAGAGCTGCACACAATACTCCAAGTGAGGTCCCAGAAGAGCAGAGTTAGAGGGGCAGGATCACCTCCTTTGACCTGCTGGTCACACTCATTTTGATGCAGACCAGGATACAGTTGGCTTTCTGGGCTGTGAGCACACACTGAAGCTGGCTCATGTTCATTTTCTCATCGACCAGCACCCCCAAGTCCTTCTCTGCAGGGCTGCTCTGAATCTCTTCTCTGCCCAGTCTGTAGCTGTGCCTGGGATTGCTCTGACCCAGGTGTAGGACCTTGCACTTGGCATGCTTAAACTTAATAAGGTTGGCATCAGCCCACCTCACAAGTGTGTCAAGGTCTCTCTGGATGGCATTCCATCCCTCCAGCGTATCAACCGAACCACACAGCTTGGTGTCACCAGGAAACTTGCTGAGGGCGCACTCAATCCCACTGTCCATGTCACAGACAAAGATGCTGAACAGGATCATTCCCAACACCAATCCCTGAGGGACACCACTTGTTACTTGTCTCCAATTGGACATTGAGCTATTGACCACAACTCTTTGCGTGCGGCCATCCAGCCAGCTCTTTATCCATCAAATGGTCCACCTATCAAATTGATGTCTCTCCAATTTAGAGACAAAGTGGTCATGCAGGACAGTGTCAAACGCTTTGCACAAGTCCAGGTAGATGACATCAGCTGCTCTACCCCTGTCCATCAGTTCTGTAGCCCCATCACAGAAGGCCACCAAATTGGTCAGGCAGGATTTCCCCTTAGTGAAGCCATGCTGGCTGTCACCAAGCACCTTGTTGTTTTTCATGTGCCTTAGCATGCCTTCCAGGAGAATCTGCTCCAAGATTTTGCCAGGCACAGAGGTGAGACTGACTGGTCTGTAATTCCCTGGGTCATCCATTTTCCCCTTCTTGAAAATGGGGGTTTTATTTCTCTTTTTCCAGACATCGAGAACTTCACCTGACTGCCATGATCTTTCAAGTATGATGGACAGTGGCTTAGCAACTTCATTTGCCAGCTCCTGTAGGACCTGCAGATGAATTTCATCAGGTCCCATGGACTTGTGCACATTCAGGTTCTTAAGATGGTCTCGAACCAGATCCTCTCCTACAGTGGGCCAAAGGTCTTCATTCTCACAGTCCCTGTGTCTGCCTTCCAAGACTTGGGTGGTGTGGTCAGAGCATTTGCCAGTGAAGACCGAGGCAAAGAAGTCATTAAGAACCTCAGCCTTCTCCAAATCCAGGGTAGCCAGTTCTCCTGATAGCTTCTGGAGAGGGCCCATGTTCTCCCTTGTCTGTCTTTTATTTGCAGTGTAACTATAGAATCCCCTCCTGTTATCTTTTACATCCCTAGCCAAGTTTAATTCTAACTGGGCCTTAGCTTTCCTAACCTCGTCTCTAGCTTCCTTGGCAACATCCCTGTATTCTTCCTAGGCCACCTGTCCTTGCTTCCACCTTCTATAATCTTTTTTTTCCTTCGAAGTTTCCTCAGCAGCTCCTTATCCATCCAAGGAGGTCTCCTGGCCCTCCTGCTGCACTTCCTTCTAGTTGGGATGCAACACTCCTGAGCTTGTAGCAGGTGATCCTCGAACATCAACCAGGAGTCTTGGGCCCCCCTGACTTTAGGGCTATATCCCATGTATCCTGGGTTTAGCAGTAACAGTCATTTTTCTCTTGGTAGCTGGTGCAGTGCTGTGTTTTGACTTTCGGGCTGGGAACAGAGCTGATAACAATGATGTTTTGGTTTGGCCAAGGACTTTGTGAGCCTTGTGTTCTGCCATGGAGGAGGGAAGCCGGGAGGAAGCAGAGACAGGACACTTGACCCAAACTGACCAAAGAGGTAATCCAGACCACAGCTCGTCATGCCCTGGATGTAACTGAGAGTTACCCAGAAGGACACGGGGTCTTCTGGGTCGGACTCGTTTTTTGGTGGGTGGTATCGTATTCTTTTCTTTTGTTACTTTATCGTTGGTGGTGGTGGTAGCGGTGGTGATTTGTGTTGTACGTTGGTTGCTGGACTGTTCTTATCTCAACCCATGGGAGTTGCATTCTTTCGATTCTCCTCCCCATCCCTTTGGGAGCGGGGAAGGGGGGAGGCCCCGGGGGGGGGGGATGTGGGCCTCAACTGCTTCCAGCCTGGCACCACTCACTGGGAGTGAGTGCACAAGCTGTCTGGCTGGGGTTAAACCACGACAACATGGAACCTTACTAAGCAGGTTCCTGAAGGGGCCAAAGTCTGCTCTCTGTAAGTCCAGGTCTGTGAGCTTGCTGCACAGTCTCCTCACTGTCCTGAGGATCTCAAACTCAACCATCTCGTGATCGCTGCATCCAAGGCTGCCCTGGAGTGCCACATTTCCAACAAGCCCTTCCCTGTTGGTGAGCACGAGGTCAAGCATGGCACCTCTGCTTGTCGGCTCCTCTATTACTTGCAGAAGAAAATTGTCTTCCACACAATTGAGGAACCTCCTGAATTGCTTGTGCCGGGCCGTACCATCCCTCCAACAGATATCAGGGTGGTTGAAGTCTCCCATGAGGACAAGGGCCTGCAAGCTGTTCCTATTTGTCTATAGAGCTCTTCATCCACAGAGTTCTCTTGATCAGGTGGTCTGTAACAGATCCCCACACTAGTGTCCCCCATAGCTGTTCTCCCTTTAACCCTGACCCACAGAACAAACAGAGTTCTGTACTCTTCAGCCTATCACTGACATAAATAGCAACTCTCCCTCCCCGTCTGCAGGGCCTTCCTTTTCTAAAGAGCCTGTAACCTTCCATTCCGACACTCCAGTCATAGGAGTCATCCCACCATGTTTCTGTGATGCCTGTTATATCATACCCCCATGGACATGCACACATCTCTAATTCCTCTTGTTTGTTCCCCATGCTATGGGCATTTGTGTAGAGGCATCTGAGCAGAGTTCCAAATGAAGCCGGCTCATTGGCTGGAGTGGCTGGAATATCTCTGCATTGCTCCAAGCATTTATTATAGGTGCTGGCAACTGACTGGGAGAGTTGGGATGGAATGATGCCCCCCTTCCCCAACACATCTAGTTT